ATCCCTCTTTTTCGTATGAACGTTCAAATTCAGCAATTCCCAACACTTCGGCTTTGTGAAAGTCCCTATTATTATCTGATTTAATTAATAAGATGTATCTCGTTCTACCAACTCCGGAAACTCTTTTTTTTTTCCTCGAGCTTTATAATTCAAACTTCAGAGTAATTACTTCGGTATAAAATGTAAACAGACAGGCAATTTTTTCTTTTTCTTTTTCTTTTTTTAGCAAAATTTTAAAATTTTGGTTTTGAAGATTGTACCAGATAAAGATGATAACCCGATGATTTTTTGAATGGAGCTGTTGAGATAAGAATCTTGTTCCTCCCTCTTGGAATTTTGACAGGACGGCGAAAGTAGAATTGCTCTATGTAGCTTCATATTTGCAAGTAACATTAATAATGTTTGACATTTCAATTGAGGAGAAAGGGACAATCACCTGTTCGTCTGACGAAAAACTCGCGTTTTTATTGGTCGAAGAACAAAAGGAGGACATACAATCGCTGGAAAACCTTTAAGTGCAATATTTTGGCGATGAATAATATATGTCTATTCGCACAGTTCTTAATTCTGCATATTAACAAAATTTTGAAAGATGGCAAGCGGAAACCCCACCAAAAGACAGACTTCAGACGGTATTCCAATGCTTTTTCCCCCGCTTCCTCCAAGCTTAGCAAATCATCCGAGGTATGAAACGCAAGAAATCAGCACTTTTAATATGTAAAATGCGTCGAACCCCGCTACGTGAATTGTTAACTTTCTATGAAGCGTTACGTTATCTCGCGTGAACATTGAGGCCATGTTTTAGAAACACAAGTGACTTCTTCCTGACAACGAAACGTTTCTAAGTAGAAGGGAACAAACCAGGGATTTACTATTCATAAATATTGACGCCATATTCGAGGGATTTAAAGTATTCTGTAATCTCGATATCGATATTTTTTGCTAGACTCATTCAACACATGGACAACACATTCGGCCATTTTGTTGATACGTCTCCCAGAGCAACACTTTCAGCCATGCGGGATATTTCCGATGTAAATGTTCGCCTGCTTTTCTTTATTTATAACTGTTTTTCTAATATATACTCTTTCATGCCAATTCTTTGTACATATATTCACTTTGTTAAAGGCATTCCCATTCTAACAATTGTTAATCGAGCTCTGGTTTCACGCCGTTTATCCTGTGAATGCCACGGATCCTAAGCGATCATGGCCTGTTTTGAGTTTACCCCAACAAATCAATATTCAGCTGGAGGAAACCTGTAAAATACGTGACCGGTTTATTGAACAAAAAGGGGAGAATTTTCTGTCACAATCAAAGAAAGAATTAATGGAGGTGTTTAAAGGACAAAGTGTGTTGTAAATAATGAATGTAGGACATGATCATCAATAACGTGTTAAATTTTCGTTGATAAACAATGAGTTTGTGTTTCATGTTGAAACGCAGCCAAAAAATAAAAGTTTAATGTTATTAAGTCGATCAAGCCATCCAGTGAAGGCATATTTTGTGAAAAATTAATGTTGTGAAGAGGACATGAAGAATCCACGTCCCTTCCAGATTTCACAGCCTTACGATCAAACAAAATGAATTTTAAATTGGCTATAAAATGGCTAGAATAATAATCTGGTGTTTCAAGGACGACCGAATGTTACAAAAATACTGAACGCAGTAATCCGCAGAACCATCTTTAATACTCAGTACTTAAATACACGGTTTATACTTGCCAGATCAACAAACAATTGTGTAAAAGTTTTTGGTCATTTCAGGTACGCTTTGTTAACAACTGACATTGTTTAACNCTATTCATAAATATTGACGCCATATTCGAGGGATTTAAAGTATTCTGTAATCTCGATATCGATATTTTTTGCTAGACTCATTCAACACATGGACAACACATTCGGCCATTTTGTTGATACGTCTCCCAGAGCAACACTTTCAGCCATGCGGGATATTTCCGATGTAAATGTTCGCCTGCTTTTCTTTATTTATAACTGTTTTTCTAATATATACTCTTTCATGCCAATTCTTTGTACATATATTCACTTTGTTAAAGGCATTCCCATTCTAACAATTGTTAATCGAGCTCTGGTTTCACGCCGTTTATCCTGTGAATGCCACGGATCCTAAGCGATCATGGCCTGTTTTGAGTTTACCCCAACAAATCAATATTCAGCTGGAGGAAACCTGTAAAATACGTGACCGGTTTATTGAACAAAAAGGGGAGAATTTTCTGTCACAATCAAAGAAAGAATTAATGGAGGTGTTTAAAGGACAAAGTGTGTTGTAAATAATGAATGTAGGACATGATCATCAATAACGTGTTAAATTTTCGTTGATAAACAATGAGTTTGTGTTTCATGTTGAAACGCAGCCAAAAAATAAAAGTTTAATGTTATTAAGTCGATCAAGCCATCCAGTGAAGGCATATTTTGTGAAAAATTAATGTTGTGAAGAGGACATGAAGAATCCACGTCCCTTCCAGATTTCACAGCCTTACGATCAAACAAAATGAATTTTAAATTGGCTATAAAATGGCTAGAATAATAATCTGGTGTTTCAAGGACGACCGAATGTTACAAAAATACTGAACGCAGTAATCCGCAGAACCATCTTTAATACTCAGTACTTAAATACACGGTTTATACTTGCCAGATCAACAAACAATTGTGTAAAAGTTTTTGGTCATTTCAGGTACGCTTTGTTAACAACTGACATTGTTTAACAGGCTTAGTTTCAGCTGTAACATTTACCCCAGCGAGGTATAACATAGCCTGTGGCCACCCTTACACAGGCTAGGTAAAACGAAGAGAGAAAAAAAGATGAAATAAACTAATATTTAAAGTGATTCTATCCGTACTTTGATTTAAAGCGGGCGGAAGCTACATACGGTTTGGAAATTCGATAATCGTTGAATTTTGTGTCCACAACTAGAATTAGTGTCGAATTAATGGAAAATCCCCTGTAAATTTTTACTTTTTTAAAATTACGTCGGCAATATTTAAACTTGATCGAAATGTTGTAAACTATCGCCGCGGCCAATTTTAATCATGAACAGGTGGCCGGTTGATCTGCGTCGTCATTTATATATAGCATAAATAAAATAAAACAGTGAGTCGGAAAGATGAAACAACCACAGGTAGACGGTACTGAATACCGGGGGTACTTCCTAGTAATAGGCTAATAAGGATGTGCCACTAGATGGAGTCGCTTTTTCATTTTCAATGGTCGTACTAGAGTGGAGTCGCACATTTTTGGGATTTTTGGGTTTAAGAAAGCTTATGTATCTAGGAATTTGCCAAAAAAGGGGGAATTCATTTTAGGATGACCGACCTACCGATAGTTAAAAAGCTTTATAAGGTAGAGGCATAAAGAGAAAGTGGCTAAATTACATTTAATTTGCCCAAAAGTGATTAAGATGGGGTCTATAACTGGTCTATAAATGGACTATAATAGGGTAGGGGTTCTAAGAGGCCAGGGGCACATACCCAGCAAAAATTAGCCCAGGTAGCTCCCCTGGGTGCTGAATTTACACAGTATGGACCGAGTAAAAGAGGGTAATAAGATGTTTATTCGATCTCTAAACTCTCTTTAAATGGATTCTATTCGGTGGAATTACAACACGCCCACTGCATATGACATTAGATGCTAGCAAGAGCCACTAGATACTTTGAAACAATTGTCACGCTGAAAATAGTCCATTCCCATGGCTAAAAGGAAACGTGTAACGCAAGTTTTATTTTACGAGATGCAAATGGCATGCGATTCTTTAAATGTCCTTAGGGTTTACAAAGGCAGACAGGAGCTGATCACGTACTGTTTTTAGTTAGTCCTGTGTACATCAACCAGTAGGAAAAATAAATTAATATTATCACTATCGTTCTCATTATCACTATCATTATCGTTATTGTTATTATTATTAGTATTATTATTATTATTAGTTATTACTGTCGAACCTTCCTTAAGCGACCACCCAGAATGCGAAGATTTAGTGGTCGCTAACGGGCGGTAGTCGCTTACGAGAATTTAACCACAGGGATTCTCTTCCTTCTTCCGAGAATAGGTCCTGAGTCATTTACTTTTTGGTAATTTCTGAGTTACGTATACGTGTAGTTCCCTGTGTTTCATGTTGTTACTGAAATATCTTTGTATACTCTGAGGGGCGTGTTAAGTACAAACAGCGATATATATATAAATATGTAGATTCTTTTCTCTTAAAGGATGTCATTCCATCTGCGGTCGGCTGGTAACTACTCTACTAACAGACACTTACTCGAACATTTCTATAAGTTAACATTGCTTTTTTTGTAAAGAATTGAAATTTTTGTCATGAAAGTTAATTTATAATGAGTGAATTAGCCTGGAATCAAAGGTATAAACGTTGACAGCTTTAGTACCACATACCGGCCCGGCACCAGCCGTTTCATTTTATTTAGGCGTCTTGGAGGGTTTCTTTAATTTACCTCGAATTTGAATTCATTTTTCATTTCAACTCTCGATTAGTGGTTTTCGTTTGTTGATTTGTGGAGACACCAGAGTGAAACCATCTTTTTGCCCATCAAGTGAAGGAGGCTTTTAAAATAAAATTTAGCCATTGGCGTACATTTCCGCTAAATTTCCTGAATTGCAGTTGACAGTTGACACCTTTTAAAACTCATATTGTGCATATATGCATTAAACACAGCATTCATTTTGATCCTGCAATAATTACAGTTTTATATAATTTGATAAAATTGAATCATCACAGGATTCTTTCACTATAAAACATCCAATATTATCGACTAGTAAATAATTTATGATAGTGCAGAAGCATTTAGCGAAAGCTGGAGATGATGTATACTGAAGGCGGATGGTTTTAAGTCTTTTGACGCAAATACTTTTCGGATAATTTTCTCGTGTCGAATGGAAATTTCGATCCAACTGTGTTGCGTAGGTTTCCCGCGAAAAAACATCAACAGAAGTGTTGCGCATGACTGCAGTAATTCAAAACCGAGTAGAGTATGGCGACGACGGCCGCTGCGTTGGAAAACAAGAAAGTTCGGATACAAACTACGATAAATTCCAGTAAACGGGCGCCAGTTACTGTTACCGTAACCGATTTTGATTCTTTTGGCCCTAGGTATCGCTTGAGGGATTTGCTGTCATCTGATAAAAACGAGGATAAAGAAAGGTAAGCCGTTAAGGACCTTAGCAGTGTTTTTAGCTTACCTAGCCGCAGGGGTTGAATAAGCTATCGACCAGTTGGGATGATTCTTATTTGCTAACAAACTCTTATCTACTCAAGCTTGGGTCCTTAAATCCGCGGTATAATTTGATATACTTAAAAACACCGACATAGCGTGTGTTTTCCCTTTATTCTGCATTAATACAAGCTAATAAGTAGGAAATAATCAGCGGCTCGGTTGTCGCCCCCTTACGCCGCTTAAATTGGAAAGTGGGCCAGTTTTTAAGAAATTTAATATTAAAAGCTTCTAGGTTAAAATGATTTACATGACATTATATTTTTTGTAATGCTTAAATATGAGGGTATGAGTACAGTATCGAGAGATAATACGCCGCAGAAATCGGACAATATATTTTTGTTTTGAAATGTTAAATCGAGTGCTAAATTATCGTATCTGAAGACATAAGCCTAAGCTTAAATATTAGTTACTTTCTATGACCAACGTTTCCTTTATTTCAGCAAAAAGAACTTCATTTTAATAATTCTAACTGAATTCCTCAAACCAACTAATTTTAAAAAATGGCTAAAATAGAAAAGGAATAAAATTAGCGCGATAATATATGCATATTTCAGCAGCTGTTGTCAAGACTTCTTACTTTTAGTCGCTGCCTTAATTCATTTTAAAACGTCTGTGGGCTGAAAATGAGATATTCAACTGAATAAAGAACTAAGTCTATCTCTATCCTTAATTAACAGTTTTGCTTGCTAAGGTGTAACACGGGAAAATTTCACAATTTATTTTTTTGCGTTACAGTACATTGGACTTTGTTGTTTTTGTTGTTGATGACAATGAAATACAGTTTTGGATAATTCGGCTTTGTTATCATCAGATGGTGGCTAGAAAATAAAACCTTGTTTATTCTGCCAGTGAGCAAGATGAAACAAATGCTGCATTCTGTGTGGCTACCAGAGTGGACCTTGTGTTTTTTTCATTTTTATTGAACTCATTTTTTCTCTATCTATGGGAAAAAAAAAATTCCAGCCATCTTGACCTTGGTCAATATAGCATACGGTCAATCCCCGTTGGACACTGACGGGGCAATGGAAAAAGTCTGTATTAAGCGGTTTGAATTTAGAGAAAATATAAGCTAGGGCCTTTCTTTCCTCAAGGACAAAGCAAAGTGTGCATAATAATGAGGTGTGAAAAGTGTTTATGACCAGCAATGTTTGTAATGGTAACAGGACTGAGTGGAGGGTTAGTAACTGTTAGTAACTAACTCCCGCTACATGGTCGTCCGATTTTGTTAATCACTCGTATGATTACAGACCGAATTGGACGACATGAAGTTCTGTTACCGATTAATCATAACTTTAACAAAATTTGTGATATAATAGGCTATTTTTTACATCAAAACACAAGAAATTCGACATTTTCTTTTGCTAGCTTGAAAAAAAAAAGCCATTTAAGCGCGCGCTTGATGGCGCGTACTGTCCGATTACTTAGGCATGACGCGTCTGTCCTATTCAACTGTCCAGTTAAGGCTGAAATTAGGGCAGTTGATAGCCAATCAGATTTGACAATTTTGTTATAGTTATGATTAACACTTTTATTGACATCACTTTAAATTCTTTTCCAAAACAGTTATACAGTCATACTATCTGCAATCAATAGAAGCAACCTCAGTTGGTGAAAGTTGATACTAAAAAGTTTAATTAAGTTACTTTTAACTGATGCCAAATTAAACCGTAAAAGTGCTGATAATGGCTTTAACACAAACAGCAAGTATAACCATTTTATCTTGTAAAATGTTTTACTTTTCACACTCGTATTTTCATAGAAGACTTCAGGTGTCATTAACATTGACAGTTTCTCTATTGTAGTGTTTCTGAGATAACATTTTAATTTCACAGGGTGCGTGTTGAACACTACGTTCGCGACAAGTCATTTAAAGAAAGACTTAAATTCTATTTTGTGACTGATCAAAGATCTAGTAAGTTGCTATTAATGAGTAGTCTTTTTCTAACAGTAACATAACAACATACTGTAAAACATATATTAAACAACGACATGTATCTTTTCAAATAATAAATCTTTGTTATAACTTTTAAAAAAATAATTGTATTCAAATGATTTGTCAGTGTAACTAATCAGGGCTAAATTCATGAAAACATTTAAGCTTTTTAATGCCGATAGTTTAAGTAAGAAAATGTGAATAATTTTTTTTGGAAATGATCTTTACTAAGCCTTAACATTTTCAATGTTATGCTAATATCTTCACATATAGGATCTATGGTAAAATAATTTTTATATTTGCAGTCAGAATATTGTGATGAAATTAGAAATAGATATTAAGTGCATTATGCTCGGAAAAAAAATCTGAGGCCCCAGTGGGAATCAAACCCATGACCTTCCATATACCAGAAGGACGCTCTAACCACGACTGAGTCATGGGCAACTCACTTGGTGAGCAGGTTGCAGGTTAGGGTAGCCACAGGACTTCACATCTTGCGAGGAGTACACTGGACTAAAGTAAAGCAACACACTGACTTACTTGCACCATGCAAGTACCTTAAGAAAGTGTCTTGTACACTTTAAAGCCAACCAACCACCCAAGTGTGATGAGATCAGAAATAGATATTAAGTACAACTAAGAAATGCTTGGAAAAAGATACGAGTCCCCAGTGGGAATCAAACCCATGACCTTCCAGATACTGGTAGGATGCTCTAACTACTGACCTAAACAGACTCCTTCAGTATACTGTGGGTTGCCAAGTGTGTCGCCCATAGCTCAGTGGTTACAGCGTCCTACCAGTATCTGGAAGGTCATGGGTTTGATTTGTGCTGGGGGCTCGGATTTTTTTCCGAGCATTTCTTAGTTGTTCTTTATATCTGTTTCTAAGAATATTAATTACCCAACAAAACAAATTTCAGTGAGATCAAGTGATTAATCAAATAGTCTCCATACTACCAATAAACTTTTCTGAAAGGTGTAATAGTGTTGTTTATGATTACAGCTAAATTTGTTTACATTTGTTGCATGCAAATACCCTCAATTCTTCTCTCATATGCAAACTATCATGACTCAAAGTATTTTTATAAACCCTAATAGGTATAAGATGGCAGATATTTCGCTTTATGCTGAAGATATTGTCATGTGTACTGTATGTTGTTCGAAGTGTTCAAGACACAAAGCCACATTTAGCAGGCGGGTAAGTACAGTTAAACAGACTCCTCCAGTATATGACACCAAAATGCAGTTATGGCAATTTAACCTGTTTAGTGGACATGGGTATACTTTTGAGGGTCCAAGGAAGCTACCTAACCTAGATTACCTTAGGTGAAGAGTGACACACTGTTTTACAAGTAAGGGCGAGGGGTATTTCTTTCATTATTATGTTTCCATTCCAAATTTGTTGTAACTCCTTTTCTGTTTGTATTGCTTGAAGTTTATCCAATTTCCCATACAGGGGACACTTATGCCCGGTTTCAACTCTTGATCTCAAGGGTGTTGGGTTATGGGAGGTTATAATTAAGGTCCTTTTTAAATACTGATATTGAAAGTGAGATAAAAAATCCTTTATTATTAGCTATAGCATGTAAATTGTTTTATGATATGTATTTGGCTATTTTAACATGTTTATGTTTCATGATATCACATGTTGATACTTATTAATAAAATATAGGTTATCGTAATTATTTTAAAACAAGCTTGTAATTCAGTTGTCTAAACTCAGAAAGTGTGGTTTACAGTGAACAACTCAATTTATCTTAATAATCTCTTCAAAACTGCTGTTAATTTCTTTAAGGTGAAGGAATTATGAAAAAAATAGTGGTATGTATACAGTGTGAATAGATAATAATACACTTAAGTGTTTTTTCAACAGTTATGGGTGTCCTGATAACAGAACTGTTAATCCGGAATGGTCTTGCCCTGAATTTGAGTATTATTATTATTATTATTATTATTATTATTAAAAGTAAAGTGGTGTGACAACAATGTTTACTATTAAATAGTTTTAATACAGGAAAAATGCCATGAGCATCTACACGGCCAATTATCAAGGTTAAATTTGAACAGTTCTTTGAATTTGGAGTGTGAGTCGTCATTTCTCTTAAAATGATGTAGCAATTTTTATTTTCAGTGAGAAAAAAAATTAATCTAATTTTCAGGGAAAATGCCACTAAAATGCTCGAATGATGTTTAATGCTTTTCCGTCACTAAAATGCTAAAAAAATGCCAGCATAATGTACAAAGGTCTACTGGAAAAGCACCCGATCGGGTTAATCGAGTGGGGAGCGGTGACGCCTATTGAATTTTTTTACCTTCAACAAACGAAAACTTCACACTTTAGGTGAATCGACTGATCCCTTATAGTTCCAAATTTACCAGTTGAGTGCATTCATAGTTAAAACCATAAAATAGAAGCTAAATAGAGGTAAAAGACAAGGAAGGGGAGGGCGCGGTTGCTTATTGTTCGATCATACTATGACAGTTGGTTTCATGATTGGCTTTTTTCAATGATCCAATTAATTATAAACCGTATTATTAAGCTCAAGGTAGGGGAACAATGTGGGCAGGTGAAAGTTTGAGATAATGAGGCATTCATGGAGAGAGCATTACCGCTGGATCGGAAAATACGAAATTCTTGTATTGTGTAAACTCCAAAGACAATGTTATTGATTCATATGGCATTTGCTTGTGGGTTCTATTTTTAGTCCTTTTATACGGGTTTATAATGGATCCTGAAGATGCCTTTGAAGGTCAGTCGGTTATAGGAAGTATTTACTTACCGCTGTAAAAAAAAAGATTGATTTGGCTACAAGCGTTGGCAACGAACGTCTCGACGAGCAAAAATGGAACAGATTAACATGTTACGTTTTCATGTTTGTACACCTAATGATAAATCTTGGTGTTTTGTCTTTGGCGTAAAAACGTTGAAACCAGGGGGGGGGGGGGAGGGGAGCCCCCCCCGGGTGAAACTGTTTTTAAATTGGAAAATATCAAAACAAATGAAAAAAAAATCTGTGACAAAAAAAATAGGAAA